ATTTTGGCGCTCATCGAATACTTCGTGCTGATTTCCAGCTTCCACCGCCTTATTGGCCACGCTTTTGGTTGCCCTTGCGCTTGCACCAGTTTCTGCATTAATCGCCACCATTGTTGCATCGCCCTTGTGCGTGTCACTTACGCCGCCATTTTGATCGCCTGATGCGCCAACGGTGGACGATAGCAGGCTGCGTAATTGGCATAGTGTAGCCGTGGGCGGAAAGTTCACGCCCATGTCTTCCAGTGCTGCGGCAATTTGACTAGTTTGCGAAGTTTCACTCATCTTTTCTCTATCACGTGGGTTTGCGTTGGGTGTTTTGTTTTCCGCACCTGAGCTTTAGAATAAGCTACGACTGCTTCGGTTGACTCGTTTATTCGGAATGGAATCTTTTTAACAAGCGCTGCCATTTGCTTTTGATGTATCATTTTGTATCTATCGCTGCCAGATTGTTGGCATATTTACAGTGTATTCTACTACTTACGTTCTACTACAACTCAGTGTATTCTACTACTTACATTCTACTACAATTTCATTGTTTAACGATGAGGAACACGTTTATAAATTTGTTTATTTTCCATTAGGCAACTGAAATAGTATGGGTAACACTGCGCTGCGCGGCGCAATTAAACCAAGAAATACATGAGACACACATACAACTGCGCTACAGGTGGCGCCGGAGTTTTTGAGCTAGCGACATTAAAATTGCGCTATTACCCATGGCTAATGGACAATGGCCGAAACGAAGATGGCCGCATATGTGAGTAACGTGTTGCCAGAATATGTTTCGAAAGGTGTTGCCAGATGTTAAAAGCGTAAGAATATTATAAAGGCGAATATGATAAGTGCTATTTTATTATGAGTTTAATAGCTGTTATGAGTGTTAAATATGTATGTAGCTAATGTCATTTTTCAGTAAAATAATAACAATTATTGATTGTATGATTCAAACATACATCATAATTATGGTATAGTCACTTTTATTCTTGAGAAGTTCTGCTCAAAAATACGTCTGCTTCTTTTCCTCGCAACACAGAAAGAGGATTGTACTTTGTGAGGGTTATAATTCCTAAGCGCGGTCGCAGGCAGCCGACGCAGAAAGAGCTTTTGCTCAAAAATACTTCTGCTTCTTTTCTTTGCACCACAGAAAGAGAATTGTACTTTGAGAGGGTTATAATCTCTAAGCGCGGCTGCAGGCCGCCTACGCAGAGAGAAGTTCCGCTCAAAAGTATTTCTGCTCCTTCGCAATACAGAAAGAGAATTCTACTTTTTGAGGGCTATAATCCCTAAGCGCGGCCGAAGGCCGCCTACGCAGAAAGAATTCTGCGTCAAAAATACTACGAAGTCAGGTGTTTTATACACTTGAGAAGGCAACACAAAAATGATAATTCTACTTTTTGAGGGTTATAATCCCTAAGCGCGGCCGCAGGCCG